TTCATGGTGGGTCTTGTCTTATAAAACTCCGCTGGAAATTCAGGGTGAGGCTCAGGCTGCTGGGACAGGCTGTATGTCCCTGCTCCACAGGAGCCTGGATGATCTCATTCCTCCTCCAATGCAGCTCTTGGCCCAGATTCCCTGCAGTTTAAAGTCAGCCTCTCCTGCCCAGACTGCACCTGAGCTCCCCCACACGCAGGAGAAAATAGCTCCTGTCTCCTTCCAGCCTTCCAGGAATGGGGCCCTGGGGACGGGGCTGCAGGGAGGCAGAATCCCAGGGTGCTGGTGGCTGGATTTCATTCTTGGACACTCGTGAGATCTTTCTGTCATAGCCCTGCACACCTCTTGTGTCCATTTGTGTTAACATTTTATTCCCTGGGACCCTGCCAGCTGCCTCTGAGTCCACCCTCCCAGCCATCTGGGCCCTCATTGGAGTTGTAACTTCTGAGCGAGGAGCCACCAGTGAAACAAAGAACCGGAGACCTGAAAGACGAGGTGGGACACTGCCATGTGGTGCATAATCCTTCAGTATTTGAGGGCTGGTGTCAGAGCTAGGATGAGAACCTAGGAGTCCTTGAGGCCAGTGCCTCACCAGAGAAATCTGTGTGAGGCCTATTGACTTTACATGAGTCTGGACTGGGATCCCAGTTACTTGACATTTAGTTCAACTGTGTTTCCTCCGCTGATAGCAGCACCTGCAGGGTGAGCTCCGCGGGCTGGGATCAAGTCCAGCTTGCTCAGGGCTTCAGCCTGGGCTTGTGGGACCTCATGTCCTCAATACCCCTTTGAGGGTGATTTGCTGTCACTTTGTCAGCTGGTCACAGAAGGAGGCAGATGCCATGGAATGGGGGAAGCCCTAGAACCTGAGATCACTTGGGAACTCAGGGGCTTCCTCTTCTGACTCCTCCACTTGCCTCGTGCCATCTAACCAGACCTAATTAATCAATAGCCAAGCTGTTGCTTTCCTGCCAACCAGCCACCTGAAGAGTACTCATTCTATCTGTGAATTGATTGCCACGCTCTCACCACCACGACAGTGAATCCCTGTGCCCACAAAGGCTGGGTGCCAAAGGAATGCTGGGACTCCCCTGCCACCCTGCCATGGAGACAGTGGTTCCCAGTGGCCCCAATCTTGTCTCAGATGGAAAAGAGAGAGCTAGAGAAGGAGGTGGAGGGGTGGGGCTTGAACCTCAGGGCCTGGACACCTCGATGCTACCACAAGGTCTAAAATGTGTGGGCCCATGGTTCCTATGGCAGTACCTTTGGTGTTATCTGGCAGCTTGACAAAGTCTAGAATCACTTGTGTGACAGGCCTCTGGGCACACCTGTGAGAATTATCTTTTTTATTTTTTTTTTAAGACAAGGTATCTCTATGTAGCCCTGTCTGTCCTGGAACTCCCTCTATAGACCAGGCTGGTCTCAAACTCACAGAGATCCCCCTGCCTCTGCCCTCTGCCTCTTGAGTGCTGGGTTGAAGGTGTGTGCCGCCACACCCACCTGTGGGGATTATCTTGCTTGTCAGTGAGCAGGAAGACACACGGCTGTGAGCGACAGCCGTTTCTTGCCAGGGCTCCTGGACTGTGTAAGTGGAGAAAGGGAGCCACAAGGCACACCTGCATTCGTCACTCCCTGCTTCCTGACTGGGGACGTGATACACAGCCGTGGTTCCTACCTTTCCCTGGGGGCGCTTCAGACCATCAGAAAGCTCAGGTGTTCGCTCTATGATTTATAACAGTAGCAAAATTATAGCTATGAAGTGGCGATGAAAATTATCTTGTGGTTGGGGTCCCCACAGCACGAGGACCTGCATCACAGGGCGGCAGCGTTGGGAAGGCTGAGCACCCGCTACAGCCTTGACCTCCCGCCATGCTCAACTGCTCTTTGAACCAGAATAAAAGTGTTTCTCCCCTAAGTTGCTTTTGTCAGGGTATTTTAAAAATCTTTTTTAGAGTTATTAATTTTTATGTGTACAAATGCTTTGCCTGCATGTACGTGTTCATGTAGGTCAGAAGAGAGCATCAGATCCCCTGGAATTGAAGCTGTCAATGGCTGTGAGTCACTGTGTGGATGCTGGGAACCAAACCTGGGTCCTCTGAAGGAGCAACGAGTGTTCGGAACCACCGAACCGCTTCTCCTGCCCCTTTTCAGGGCATTTTATCACAGCAATAGGGAAAGAAATGAAGGTAGTGGCCAACTTTCAGATGGCTTCCAGCATGTTCCAGATTTGAAATGTCCTATCCCAAGTGGGTAAGAATTAAAAATCACAGGCATCTACAGTGCAGGCTGCAAGTGTACACCTGCTTCTGTCTTTCTGCCTGTTTGGAACCTGACTCTACTTCCTGACCGGTCACCTCTGTCTCGTGCCCTGGAGTCCACACACAGCATCAACATGAGAGAATTGTAGATACACGCTTCAATCAAGAGTGCCGCCCACTCTGCCCACCCCACCCACTCCAGACAAAGGAGGGAACTGGACCTAGGCTTCCCCACTCCATGCCTCCACACTCCCCTTCCCAGTCCTGGTCAGAATATAGAAATACACATGGGCATGCTGTGTGTCTTATAACAGCAGAACGAGGGAGTGGGCGAGAGGGGGAAGTGATGCAAGATGCAAATACAGTGCCAGTGTAGAAATGCCTCATACACACACACATATACACACACACAAATACACACACACACACACAAATACAGTGCCAGTGTAGAAATGCCTCATACACACACAAATACACACACAAATACATACATACACACAAATACAGTGCCAGTGTAGAAATGTCTCATACACACACATATACACACACAAATACATACACACACACACAAATACAGTGCCAGTGTAGAAATGCCTCATACACACACACATATACACACACA